AATTGGGATTTTGCTCTGGTGATTCCTAATTGGAATGAGGGTTCGAATCCTTCCAAAATCCATGCGAGAGTCATTTAATGAAATTGCGTTTCGTTTCGTTCTAGCGCTTAATAAATAAATAATATATATAATATGCTCGTTCGTGACTAGTGTTGAGAGAGAGTGATATCGTTCTGTACACGTTTTAAAGGAAGAATAATAAGATTTGAGGACTTGGGCGAGTTTCGGAATTATTTGCGGCGTGGGAATTTAGAAGAATTGGTGATTTCGAGAGGAAATTAGAAGAGGGAACATCTCTCGCTCATGTCACTTTCGTTTTTGTTTCTCATTATGCTCTTGCGCCATTTTTTACTTGCTTTTGCCATTCTCGCTTTTACCTAATCTAGTTTGATTTATTTGAAACTCATGGCCTGCCTGATCCAAAAAATACTTAACGTAGCCGAAATCTAGTTCATCAAACATGTCTTTCATACTTTCAGATTGAACTCACCCTCTTCTAATAATTGGTTTGTGTACTGCTGTTGGTGGTGGTAAACGCTGGACTCTGTAAATGATGAAATTTCTTGTCAATCACCTTGTCGAAAAACGCGTCAATTTTTCGGCATCTCGTGCAAAATGCATGTTCTTTTATATGAACGGAGATAATCTAATTTTTGTTCTCACCTATCACGTTAACACAATCACCTCCATATTCATCAACAATGCTGTATCGTCTTTGTCGACGACCGGTTAATTCTTGCTTTACGAGTACCAACTACTCGGCATATGTAGATTTCTATCTCCTATCTGTATGCTCGAAATTATAATTAATTATTGCAAACTAAAAAAGAAAGAGTAATTATCTTAATAACATTAAGCGATCTCGAAATACTTAAACGCATGAGAATTCAACACTTCAGCACCACTATAAATTACAATAGGATTTCCTGTTGCTCGCATCGTAATTACATCAACGTGAGGATAAAACATGTTTCGCGATGACAGGTGTTTAGTTGATTCACCAACATCAACAAATTCTACGAAATATGGTTTCATTGTCCGTGTATGAATATGTTTCTGTAATGCCAAAATTCCACAATTTATTATTTAATTGATAGAATTTAAAGAAACTGTTTTAGCTTTGAATTGATTGACATCGACCGAACAAATCACCAGTCCATTTTCAAATTGGGCATAGTACATGTAACATTATTTTTTCCAACGCGCATAGTAACACTAATCTCAAAACGAGTAATAAAAATTTGTGTTTAAAATTAATTTTTTAAAAAAGTTATACCTTGCAAAATAAAATCTGTTCTTTGTATATTATTCTATTTTGGAATGCTGTGCCATGCTTCAGAATTCTGTATTTTGAGATAATAAACTTCGAAAAATTATTAGTAATACCAATAAAATAAATAAAATAAAAGAAATCAAAGAAAATTAAAAATATTTAGCTTATTCCAGGTTGTGTATTATTGTGTCATTGCTTTGCGTATTATCGTACTTTAGAACATTATGCTTCAGATAGTTTCTTCACCTATTTTTTGCTTTGCGTATTAACTCTTTTGATATTAATTTTTCAGCGGCCGGATTCGCATTTAGAACGAGGGGAAAAACTTATTTGCATTGGATCGATATGAGGAAACGTTGACAGATTTGAATGCTATATTGGAGATAACACCGAAAAATGCTGCTGTATTAAGAACTCGATCGAGAATACATTATTTGACTTAGAAGAAGCCTTAACAAGATACAGATACATTTTACAAATTGAACTGGTCAAGATTAACGCAATTTTGAATTGAGCTGAAAATAAATCAACTGTTTGGATGGAGATTTCTGCCCAGCCAAATTCTTCTCATCGTTATATGCTTATTCCATTGCTTTAATAATAAATCGTCAATTGGTTGTTTGTGTACTGTTGCACCCAAAAATTTGTATATATCTAAAGTTGCTAAAATTATGATAGCGATAATTAATGTGACAAGTAAAATGCAATACATTAAATTTATGCGGATAAAAATACTTACCATCGAGCGCAACACCAGTAAATTTTTGACTTGATTATCAGCTCCGTATCTTTAGGTGTTTAAACTTTACATTCTTTCATCTTATAACAATTATCAAATGTTGGATGTGTCAATAAATTAATTAAATTGTATCTCTTTGTCAGATTAAAACGAGTGATGCTCTTACAATTTTGATGTTTTTTTCCGGTGTAATTTGTTTTGCTCGAACTTTGGCAACTCCGGTCAATTCATTAACAGAAATTGGATTTGTAATATCGATTTTGTTATCCACAACTTACAGTCGTTCAACCATCGACTACTACAATTTATATTATGCATGTACTTATCGTTATCACAGGCCAAATCTTTTTTATGATGCCTAAATTGTTCAACTTATCGTTATCCGGTGATCGAGACAACGTCGAACATTGTCACAAGAAATTTTGTGCTGTATCATAAAATTTGCCGAGGTTGACAATTTTTAGATTACAATTTATCATATTTGACAAACTATGTTCAAGGGAGAAAAGAGGAAAAATCACATGTACTTAAATGCTTTTATTTACTGTATTTCGAGTATTGTTGATTGTTGAGTTGTTGTGCTTGGATGGTAGTTTGCTAAAGAATTGAAAATAATACATTTTCTCCATATTCCTTAACATCTAGTACAATTGAAAATAAATTTTTTTGATAAGTTCAATTTTTTGTCATATGAATGTATAAAGGCACTGATTTTCAAGTAGCCGTCGCTTTCACCGACTTGCTTGTCATTCACTCAGACTAATGGATATAATTAACTAATCAAGTCAAGGAAAATAAAATTATTATTATTTTAAAATTTTAAGCCGTATGTGAAAAATACATACTATTTTCCTTGCTACATTCCAAACATTTAATAGCTTCAGCATGAGTTCCGAGAACCGTATCATTTCCCGTATTAAAATCTAACACAGTCATTCATTGAAGTTATATTTCAAGAGTCGAATAAATCATTATTTTCAAAAAATCAAGTAACGTAAGTGATTACGTTTTCAGACATTTATCCAAACCATCACTGAACGCGTGAGCTTCATCTGAGAAACAACAACAATCAAGTGTCCTTATGAGTATAACTCGTTTCAAGTGGTGAGGTATTATGAACGTCGTATAATCTTACATTTTACAGAATGGTTATAATGTTCGATAAGGCAAATGAGATAGTTATATGCATGTACGCAGAACAAGAGTAAAGAAAGCTTACTTTATCCAAGAAGATACTAGTAAAAGATCTGAATTTGTAGGGCTAACACAATTGATGAAATAGAGTCAGTCGGCATATCATATAATTCGTATTGCTGCATGTTTACAAGGGTTGTAAAGGTAAAGAGAAAACTCCGACGTGTACGTAATCGGAACAAACTGTTGTGAATCACGAATCAATACGATGTGATTGTCGATGTTACTGAATTGTTGATATCATTGATACAGAAGAAATGTGGCGCCGTTTCTCACCTCTTGGACTCCAAGAGAAAATCAAATAACATAAAAACCAACAATGTTGCTCTTCGAGCAAAATTCCCGCTGATTAGCATAATTCTTCTTACCAATAACCATGACCTCAACTCGTCAAACACGAAATAGCCAAGACCAAGCTACCTTTTCTTATTAAATATTAGTCTTGGAACTGAGACTTCTTTTAACACAATTACAACTAACTCTTCTACTTGAGACAACGCATCGTCGGGTAACTTCAGTTCCCAGCCAATTTCAGCCTGAAGAATTTGTAAAAAACGATGACACACTTTGATAAGTTACATGCTTCTTTCCACCCATAGTGGCAAAGAAAATGGCTGTTCTCCGTCTAATAATTCCGCCTAAATAATGATACACATGGCGGTACACACATTCCCCAGTACACACATATTCACCAGGGGATGGAGAATATGTATGATGCTGTGCGTGCGCTGCTATATGTATCTAATCTTTGGCGCTATTGAGACAAGTTGGTCATGTAGGATGTGTGTTATGTGGTTTTCATTTTTTTTATGGGATAAGGTATGGTTTTTCATTTTTGGGGGTTTTTTTGAAAAAAGATAAATAAAAAAATTTATTTTTGGTAACTATTTTTATACTAGAATGTGGATGCGTCAATGCGTTAAAAATATTTGATAGTTGCTTGATATATGCTTGATAGATGATTGATTTTATTATCATTATTAACATTACAAGTGTTGTATATTATCTTTTTAGCTTATTATTAAGATCATGATAAATATTATGATAAAACACAAAATCTTGTCTGAAATGAGAGTGACATACAGACATATCTAATTGACAAAGAATTCTTTCGACTTGTCGAATTATATCTTGTTGGATTTCAGGTGAAATCTTAAAATCTTTGTCGATTTCTTGTTTTAGGGAGCGGAAATAAATTTCAAGCAAGAAACATGTGTAACACACTTTCTACTTATACTATTTCTCCCTTGGATCAAAAGGTAAAAAAATCATCTGTGTGATATTAGGAGAACGAGAAATTTGGTGATCCAACTATGCTCTATCTGAAACATCGTCCGATCGCTGATTATAAAGGATTTAGTCTACGACGATGATTCGTTATCAGCAGGCACGAATATTGAGACACGGGAGGATAGAGAGACGGTATTTTGTTGATTAATAAAGGGGATGTATGTTTTTATGTTTGGGCAAACTATGCTGAATACATTTTCAGAGATTAATGGGCTGAATCACAAATATCTTCCTGACTGCTTTGGCTAAATGCGAGCATGTAATAATATTCATTTTACACAGCTTCGCGCGAGCCCCTATTGGCACATTGTCATCTATATGATACCATTCATAAATGAGTAAAACCTGATCAAAATAGCGAAAGCAACAAAGATATCTGGCAACATGAGCACGGTTTGAGATCCAACTGAATATATAACTAGAAAAGAGGTTATTTTAATAAAAATTATTTTAATTGGTCTTTGTAAAAGGTTAATAAATATTATACCATGTTATTGCCCAATTACATTCTTATTTAATATTATAGCATCAGCATTTTTATATGGATCTAGATCTCGATGTCCAAAATTCCAGAATGCCAGCCTCCCGAAATGCTAAAATCCCCGAATGCATAAAATCCGAAATATTCTCAAACTATGTAATAAAATACATGTGAAATGTAAAGGATGAAATTTATACTAATCTACCCTACTCTTTTTGTGTATGTGAAATTTTAAGATATTGGATATATTGGCATTTTGGTTTTTAGGAATTCGGAATTTCGGGTATTTGGGATTTTGGGGCATTCGGGATTTTGGGACATTCGGAATTTTGGATGTCGAGATTTTGGGCGGCACCTTTTTATATCTATATCTTTGATTTTCGAATCAATATGTTAATTATAACACTTTTGATTTTTATCAATTTGTTTAAGTCGGCGTTCTAAATTTGGCTACAAAAATCGTACATTCATTGCACAACGATGCAAATATAAAAAATATGTATATTTTACAACTCTCAGGTTGCAGAGATAAATCTTGGCATAAATTCATGCAAGCACTAATGTATTATTTGTATTATTTGAAAATAACAACAATAGTCTCACCACAACTTCTACAAATTAATTGCTTCGTGTTCTGATCAATATTTACAATTTCTTCTAATCTTGTACTGTAACCAAATTAAAAATCACTTATCTTCTCTCACCACAAATTACTAATATTCATTAAATTATTGTTCTTGTTAAATAAAAAAAATATAAACTACTTTTGCAAAATGTAAGTATGATATTTCTTGCTTATGATGTTCCAATCATTTGATGACAAGAAATTTCTTCAATTTGAAATAACTTTTGTTTGTACATCGTGAACAAAGATGCCCGATATGCACTCGGATTTATTATCGATATTCGTGAAGCAACTTGTATATTAGGCTGTGTTTCGGATGTGTATCCTTCGGTCGAAATAGAATCTGATGTTGTAATAGAACTTTTTTTCGAGTAAAAGGAGAGACTACTTTCATAATCATTGTATTGTTCTTGTGTCATGGTTTCTTCGTTGTAGTAAATGCTGTTTTCTTCTGTTGATGTTTTGTCGGGACTTAATTGTGATAGATATGAGAAATAGTCATTTTGATACTGTAATAAAAAGCAGTTTAAAAGTCAATTCTCAAATAAAACTTTCTGAAAACTAGGATAAAAAATCAAAAGTAACTCACAATTTGATGATTTAATTCATCTTCTTGGCGACAAAAAACTCCGTCAAAATCCGCAAACATGGTATCCAACAATATGCTATCTATCGAATCTCGATAGGTTGTTCGTGAATGATGCTCTTCATGACAATAAACGCCGTCAAAATTAAGAAAATATAAGGTTTCTGGATCGATTAATTCATTTATTCGATCTTCTTCTTTGTCGAATTCAAACGAGTCAAATGATAAATTGGAGTCTGTGTAGTCAGAGTATTCGCTCATACATACAGAATTTCGTACTTGTTTTTTGAATAGGAATATTTCTACGTCGGTGTCGTCATCATCTAAAAAAGTTGTTCTTTTCGGTGTGCGCGTTGATGATGAGGAGCTGTGGTGGTAAATTGTTGCCATTTTTTTGTGTGCAATTTTTGTTTGCTATCGCTATGGGTGATGGTGAATATGATTTTTATTTATTAACACAACAAAATAAAATAATCTTGAAAATTGTTTTTAAATAAAAAAAAGAGAAATACGAGAACTCAGTTATATTTATACATGTATATACAGGAAAATTCTTCAAAACCAAATCGTATAAGCGCGCGGTCGAATCACCACATGGCACAGTATGCGGATCTACAGAGAATAATAACAATAGTAAACGATAAAGCATTAATTATTACTCGTCGGGTGATCCCCATTACAGCTGCATTAGCATATTTATGTGTTAAAGATGCGAAGAGGCGTAATGGCCGTTTCACAAAGAGATTTGTGTTCTTTGTATTCGAATATGATTAAAGCACTTTCCGATACGTCTACACCAAAAAAAAAAACCCAAAAAACGCACACAATGATGATGCACTAAGATTCAACTAAATCTCCATAACTGAATACATAATGGCTTTTATGCTGTATTCTATGAGCATGCAGTAAAAAGTCAACGTTTATTCTTTCTTGGTATTCTCGAAAATTTTCTTATGTCTAACAAGAGTATTTGTGTAAGCATTTAAAACACAAGCTAATTTTTTGGATGACTAAATGCTGCAGAAAAGGTTTGTGATACGGATTTTAAAGTCTTATTTGCTCGAATAATCATTTATATGTTTATAAACATGTACTTTATTTAGATGACTTAAAATTACATATTAAGTTATTAAATTTAAAAATAGAACCACTAACGTTGTATTTACATTTATGAATATAGTATATTAATAAAATTTCTAGTAAAAAACGGGAAATGTATTTAGACCATCCTCCCCAAAAACCCAAACTACAGTATATCCCTCCAATGCCGACTCTAATAAATTCGTATTTGGGAAATTTTCAGCTTATAATAATTTATTAAAAAATCTCTATACGTTTTTGAGGTCATAGGCACTCGTTTCGCTTTCGTTTCCGAACTTAGACTATAATTATCGATTGGAAACGGCGAGTATGATGTGATGTAATTGTCACTTCCGTTTGATAGAATACTAATATCGTCATCTGAGGACGAATTGTCATCATCGCTGTCCGAATTCCATTCCGATGCGTAGGAGAAATAGTCGATTGAGAATTTCTCAGACGTGATTTTTATTTCGCATTCTTGTTCATCGCAGTAGTTGCCGTCAAAATCTTTAAAGTAGAGCGTTTCAGGGTCATACCATTCAAAATCGTTTGTCTCGTTCAGAGAGCAAGCATCATCGTTGCGTTTAGTATCGTTGAGATTGTTTGTCTCAAAAGAATAATTGCACGAACATTCTGTGTTGTTGTTTTCAAAATCATTAATAGATTGTGAATTGATAATTGACATTTTTTGCTTTTTTTTGTATTTAAGAGAAGATGTTTTATTCGTTGTTTGTTGGTTTGTTCACACAAAAGATGTTTTTATTACAGTTGGTTTGCTTGATTTCTTGAAATGAAGAAGAACACGGACATTATATAGAAAAACTGCAAGAAACTTTTGGGGACTGATTTTCACGCGGGAAAAACTGTTATGAGGAACATATTGTAATTCCTCCGTGTTACTCGAGTTCGATTACGACATGATCAGCCATCCCTTTTACCAAAAATTCCAACAAACAAGCCTATTGTTGCTTTTACTATCTTGATAGGATGCATAATACATGTATATTGTTGTTATTTGAATGATATCATAGAACTTGAACAAATTACAATGTTGAATAACATCAAACCCAGTTTCAGTAATGTTGTACGCGATGGCATTGTTGTCTATCTCCACCACAATGAACACGGATTGTGGAACATATTTGTGTTTAATTATGGACACGTATGTTGTTGATTTTCAGGTGTCTAGCCGATCCCTTCCATACATATTG